TTATTATTATTATTATTATTATTATTATTATTATTATTATTATTATTGATGTGATGTCTATGGAAACTAAATAAATAGCTAAAAGAAGATAAATTATTTAAAAAATTTCTACCTAACTAAACTTTTTTTTTGTTCCTTTTAGTTAATTTCTGCTAATTTGAACTTGTTTCTGTTAATTTTCTTTTGGCTCCTTTCAGCTATTATTCCAGCCATCAATCCACCCACTTCTTCCTTTCCGGGTCACGGGGGTCACTAGTGCTGCTGGTGCCCATGTCCAGCCATCACTGTACGAGAGGTGGTGGACACCCAGGACAAGTCGCAAGTCCATCACAGGGACACTAAAATGAGACAACCATTCACTCTCTCACTCACACCTAGGGACGATTTAGAGTTACCAATCTGTCTAACATAAATGTTTTTGGTCTGTGGGAGGAAACTGGAGTGCCCAGAGAAAACTCACACATGCACGAAAAGAACATGCAGTCTCCACCCAGAAAGGCCCCTGGCCGGGATTTAAACCAGGGTGATGTGCTCGCTGAGAGGCAGCAGCTCTACCAACTGCACCACCGTGCTGCCTCAGCTACTATTATTATTTATTACATTCTATTTGCTCCTTTCAATTTCTCTTTTCTAATTAAATTTTAATTTCTTCTTTTCATTTTGGGTTATTTTTCTGCAGTTTTGTCTTTTTTAGTTACTGCTTTTAAATTATTCTTTCTACTTTTCAGCTATTTTATCAAATAAGCTCAGGCACATTTTCAGCAACATTATTCAGTAAAAAGCATTCACACTGCATCGGCACCAGAAATGCCATTTCTCTAGTTGTCAAATATTTTTCTATACAGGGACATTTTTTTTCTTCTTCAGAGTTTTGAAATATGATTGCAAAGATGAACCCTTGACCATTCATAAATCAGACTTCCCATGTCATGAAGATGAAGCCAGCATTGGAAATTAAAGAGAAATAGCGTTTAACTGTATGAAGCTGATAACATGATTATTGTACAAAAATATCTCATTCTCTTGTTAATCAATTTTATTATCCAATATTGCTGTCATGAAAAGTGGAAATGATCTGTAACAGTAATAAATGTATCAAATATAGATGTTTTTATGCATATTTAGCTTGAATCAGTTGCCAGCATGACTGTTCCTGTTCTTGATAAAGATGTTTCCCCTCAAATAAATGTTAGCTCATTGTCTGTAGTTCTGCTATCTCAAGATAAATAAATAACATGTTACTTCAAGATAAAGTCATAAAAAGTAATAGTGATTTCAGAAAGTATTCACATCACTTCATTTTGTTCTGTTATAGTCTTATTCCAAACTGTATTAAATTAATCTACTTCCTCACCATTCTACACTACCCCATTATGACAATGTGACTTTTTTTTTTTTTTTGCAAATGTATTAAAAATAGAAAACCAAGAAATCACATTTACGTATTCACAGCCTTTTGCTATGAAGCTCAAAACTGAGCTCAGATGCATACTGTTCCCACTGATCCTCCTTGAGAAGTTTCTACAACTTCAATGGAGTCCACCTGTGGTAAAGTCAGTTAAATGGACATGATTTGGAAAAGCACACCTGTCTAAGGTCCCACTGTTAGTGCAAACACCAAGAACCTGAGTCACTTTGTCAGCGCTCTAGCATTCCTCTGTGGAGAGTGGAGAACCTTCCAAAAGGACAACCATCTCTGTAGCAATCCACAAATCAGATGGAAGCCATTCCTTAATAAAATAAACTAATATTAGGTTCACTATGAGGTCATTCTCAGTTTTGAACATTTCCACTCACGTAGTAGAACAAATAGTTTTAGAAGACCCCCTCCACCACCAACAAAAGGATGCAATGCCATGTTATGTTAAGCTAAGCTAAACTTAGCTAAGCAAAGCATCACCCGATAATATTATAGGTAAGGGTACTGACTTTGGCAGTCTCAGTGCTTTCTTCCTGTTCCATACTGGGAACAACCTCTGACATGGTCAGTCTACAGCCAATAACAGAGACTTCAACATAAATGCCAAACTAAATCTTAACAGGACATTAACATGAATAACCCATTTCTACCCTCAGAAACATCATAAACAGTCAGAAACATTGCACACATAAATCCCACAGGGATAGCCAGCACCCATTGCAGTGCACAAACCCTTTCACATTTTTTGCATAGAGAACTTTGTGAGTTTGGGGGTAAAATAAAATAAAGCTAAACTGAGACACACATCATTGCTTTAATCTGGGGCCAACAAATATTCATCTTTCAGTGTCAATATCATAAGAACTAAATTAGCAGAAACACAGGTCAAAAGGTCGTGTGCTCCTGCGGCTGTGACCGTCTCTTCTTCTATCTCCTGCGGTGCGGGGAGCTCTGTTATCTCAACTGATGAACTGATGGCATTAGTTGTGGCCGCCCGCTCACAGGATTAAGCAAGAACAAACAGATTCATCACCGAGAGATTATTGATGATGACGCAAAGCAACTTTGCAGGTAGTTTTAAAAAGTATTTAAGCACAAGGATTGCTAAGTGAGTTAATGATAGTAAAGCACGAGAGGGAGATATCCCACCCACATTTAATGCATCAATCTGCTTTAGCCCAGTAGAGTTTTGTTTTGTTTTTGTTTCTGGAAAATTAATTTATAAAAGCTCACCTCTGAATGGGACATGGAGGCTTTACATGTGATTTATTGACCCATTTTAAGTTGTGTTCAATTATAACGTTGTCACTTTACAGTCATGATGGTCAAATCCTGTTTTTTTCAGCTGAGACGGCTGTCTAAGCTGAAGCCTATACTCTCCAAAAAGAACCCTGAGACAGTGATCCACGCCTTCGTAACATCTAGGCTTGATTACTGCAATTCACTTCTGTTTGGAATCAGTCAGTCCTCCATTGCTCGTCTACAACTGGTCCAAAATGCTGCAGCCCGATTTTTAACTGGTACAGGCTATAGAGAGTACATCACGCCAGTTTTGGCCTCCCTGCACTGGCTACCCATTCACCTTGGGATCCAATTCAAAATTCTCATGTATGTTTTTAAATCACTGAACAGTTCCGCCCCATCCTATCTCACTGATCTTCTTCTGTCCCACCGCGCTCTCTGAGGTCAGCAGACCAGATGCTTCTCTCAGTCCCAGAAACCCGTCGTAAGCTCAGAGGTGACAGGGCTTTCTCTGTTGCAGGTCCACGACTGTGGAATGAGTTGCCACTGAGTGTCCG